TCCCGTACAGCATTATATATAACCAAATCAGGTTCAAGGCATAGGTCCCAATCCTTCTTCCGCATAATACTAACTCTTTTAGGAGGCTTCTCTCTCATGACTTCCATAACTTTCATCAATTCCTTCAGAAGACCAGCTTGACCAAGTGTAACAGCAATACTGTGATATGCAGCCATATCCGGGTATGTGTTGCAATCTTCCTGAAGCATTCAACATACCAATCATCAATGCTCAGCTAAAGGGGACAACCCAAATAAACATAAGCCGCACACCATTGAAGTGACTATTACACGCATCAGGTTGAAAATGTGAAGAGCTTCATGTGGTCTCCTTGCCTTGCCAAGTACTGACAAGACTTTTGTGTAGACAAACCTACAAAAAGGACGATGATTTTCTCTTCATAATAACCTCTGAACTCCAATGCCGAACAGAATTCACCACCAGGGGTTATACCTGCTCATGAATTCTTTCCTATCCTTATCATTATATACCCACTCAACAACTGCTAAAGCTTGTTTCCATTGTCCTCTCGCTCCTAATGTATCCACAATCTTCAACAACTGCCTTTCTGTAAATTGCAATCCTGACTGCTTCATCATCCTCGCTAATTTCCAGTCCTTCACCGTCGTCACCTCTTTAAGACACAACCTATTGCAACAGAAGTATAAAACACACATTACAACCTAAAAGAGCTGTGTGGCTAAGACGAAAAAGAAGTATCAACAAACTCGAGTTTAGTCACAAACTTGTTAACAAGAAACTGGATTGTTTCCCCTTCACTGCACTTTCGCCTGGAGGGTTCCAAATTAGTTTCATTTTCAGTCCTGGAAAAGTCATCGTCTTCAAAATCGATATCATCATCCAACACCCACTTCAAATTGCCCTCAAATATCTCCTTCAGTTCCCTCAGATTCTCCCTTTTCGGCTTCCCTCTGTCGAAATCTTTACAGCGGCCAGAAATCTCCCTTAGCTTAACTTTACCCATCTTTTCCCAGGGCCTCCCCTCCAAAAGAACCCCACTTCCTCTCGGCTCTACCGCCTTGGTGAAGTCTCTGTACTCGCGCTTCACTGTCAGAAAGTGGGATTCCTCGGCGAGGGCTTGTTTTTCGGATTCAGTGAGCGGCGGCGGTTGCTGGGTGCGGCGAATTTTGTTCAGCTTGCGGTTGTGTTTTTGAATTTCTTTCTTGCGGAGGGTGTGAATGATTTTGGGCGTTGGTTCCAAGCCTTTCTTTAGAAGCCTTCGTTTGATGGTTTCGACTTTGGGTTCAAATTTTTTAGGGGGGAGAGAGGGAGAAGGAGAAGAGGGAAAAAGAGCCATTGAAGTTTCCATGACGAGAACTGGTGAGGCCCGGAGTGGTGTTGTGGTAGAAGCAAGCAGCTAAAAAGCCGAGAAGAGGCGGATAACGGGTCGACGAGGGTGAAATATGTTCTTTCTTTTCTAGAAATTCCGCCATTTGTCAATTTCTTTCATGCTTGATAATATCTGTTTTGATCATCATTTCTTGATCCGGTCAAAAAAAAAAAAAATATCATCATTTCTTGATTGATTGTCTTTGAAATATCCGTTTATCGGTTTATCACACAATAGAATGTATTTTTTGGTCATATTTATGAGCGAGTTCTATGACATTTGAAGATCAAAACAAGCCAAAAAATTGAGGTTGTACACAAGTTACGAGACTGAGTGTCTCAAGTCACAATCGGGGGTGACATTCGACAAACAGGGGATGAGATGAGCAAAAATGTAGTAAGTTTTACACAAGTTGCGACCTGACTTGCAAAACCCACGGTATGATTGTGACGTGGAACACAAAATCGTGACTTTCATCTACAAACAAAGTGAAACAACAAGTTTTGCACAGTTCACAGCCTGTGTCACTACCGTGACGCATGCATTGTCTCGGGTATGAATAGTTTGTTGCAATTCTTAGAAGGGGGAGAGTTGAGTTATTGGCCAAAAGCATCCAAGGGGCGTTCCAACGAGAAGAAGAGCGATCTATGAGGGTTCTTAGAGCTAAATTGGAGGTTCCCGCCTCCATTGGATCTAGAAGAAAATTGAAGATCTTGAACTTTATATTATAAATCTCTCCTCTCTATGAAATAATTCTCCTTCATTTAGTTCATGAGAAGAGATGGAAGAAAATTTTGGGTGGAGGATATTTTAGGGGGAAATGTTATTTCATAACAAAATTATGAGATATTGGCAAGAGGGGTTAAAATTAATTTGATAATAGTTTTTTTTTTTTTTGGAATTTTCCCCCCTAATTTTTCATACAAAAGTATAAAAGAAAAGGTCAAATAAAAACACTTCAACCACAACTTTCCCTTCCTTCGGAGGGAACACTTCTACCGAGCTCAGGTTATGCACCCATCAATAACCAAATCTGGACCCTTCATTTAGAAAATCCAGATCTAAAGATGGAGAATTAAAGACCATTTTTATTTTTCCTAACTTTCTTAATCGGCTCATATCTTTTTCGTTTTAACTCGGATTTTAATTTTTTTTTGCACAGATGGAACGAGTTCATCGTGCTCTACAAAATGAGATCAATTTTCAATATTTTTGAGGAAAAAAAATCTGGCTTCTCGGTACCAACTGCATACCATATGGTATTTAATTCGTTTTTGAAAACGTTTGCACAGAAGGGACGAGTTCATCATGATCTACTAGATCTAAAAATTTCTAGGTTAACAAATTACATGACCAAAAAATACCACACAATACCACCCTGGTACGGGGTGGTATCTTGTGGTACACAATGATAAAAGTCGTAAATGACAGTTAATATACTTCTACTATCATGTATTCAACCATCCTACAGTCTTGGTTTGTTCATATCACAATGGTACGCTTTTCAAACCATAGATATGCTCTTATTTCAATACCAGTCAATACCATATGGTATAGACTGGTAAAAAATGACTCAATTTTTTTTGTTCGAAAAATATATCAAAGTGATATCATTTTGAAGAGCACAATTAATCTGATCTAACTGTGCAAAAAAATTAAATTTTGACTTAAAACGAGTGAGAAATTGTCCATCATAGATTAAGGAGGGAAAAATTAAAGGCTTTCCAGGAGAGAGAGGGATGCTGATGTCATGCTGTTGTGGGCTGGTTACTCATGATTACTCACCATAAGGTTACTCACCTGATCCGTTCCCCTTCTACCGTGCAGATGGGGGAAATTGTGGTGGGTCCAATGCATATTTCCTCCCTTCCTTTTTTACAAGAACGAGGGGAAATTAGGATTTGATGAAACCTACTCATGTTTAGTTTGATTGAATGACTGTATGCGTACTCTATTTTGATATTCTTTAGTTCATATCTAATCTATTCATGTTTTGATGTTCAATCCTTCCTTGATCAATATTATTGACTATGCTTTGACTCTATGACGGAGAAAATCTTATTAGGGTAATAGAGGGGGTCTTGTATCGAACGCCTTGATCGGTTGTTTTAGAGAAGATTATATCCCTCTTAGCAACCCACTCAAGAGTGTCTTGATTGCTCAAATAGAGATTCAAGATCTAGTCAAGGATCCTTTGCATTATGAATGAAGATTGAATCAAGTTAGAGGATTGTCAACATTGACTCGGTTAGTGGTTAGGAGGAATAAATGCCTAACTGCGCTCTCAACTTGTAATTAGTTAGTGTAGTTGTTAGAGTAGTGTAGTTAGTTTAGCTTCATAAACTCAAATCATGTGTGGCTAGATAACAAACTGAAACGGAGTAATGGTACACCTAGAGATCCAAGTGTTCGATAATTTTATTACTTTACTTCCACTATACTATATTCGATCATTGGTTATGCTTGGCCCTCGATCGAGAGTAATTTAGAGCGATTCAAGTTTTTGGCGCCGTTGCTTGAGAATTCTAGGTTATTATGAAGGCTTAGGTTTGTTAATTTAGTCGTTTTACTTTATTTTCTTTCCACCTTTGCTTTTGAAGGTGTTTTGTGTTATCATTTTGATCAAGCTCTACACTAACAACCACCATGTTTTCCTTGGGAGAAGAGACTACCCTCGACTATGAACATGTGACATAGGGTGCAAATGAGCTAAGTTCTTCACAAGCAGCTCGATACAGTGGCTTGTTAGCCCAACTGGTGAGTTGGCTCGTTTTGAGCTAGCGAGCCAACTCTACTACCAACTTATAAGCAAATCGATTTTAGATCTTATGAGTTGGCTTATTGATAATTCATAGATTTGTTAAATTATATATTTCACCTCATATGATGTTGAAGACTTTAAGTACATAAGCAAATATGTCTTATTTATAACTTTAAAGATAAATTATGTATCATATATTGCTTAGATATTGATTATTAAACTAGTTAAATTTTATAAAATAAGGGGTCGTTTGGTTTTGGTGATAGTTAAATAGATGCATTGTCATTAATGCATGCATAATAATATACATGTATATCAGAAAATCGGTGTATTGTAGTTTGCATCGTTTGGTTTATGTGATAGTTATTGTGTTGTTTAAATAAGTTATCTTACTTTTTGGATGAAATGTCACTTTTACCCTTTGTTTGTAATACAAAAAAAACAAGACATAAAAAGGTAGGGACAAAGTTGGAAGGAAAAAAAAACACACAACAATCTCAATCAAACAATCTCAACAATTTCACCCAAAACTTGAGATTTAACTATCACTCATTGTGAGTGATAGTTTGTGTCACATCAAGCAAACAATGCATGTATTGTTTGTGCAGAAAATTCAGAAAAACAATGCATGTATTGTAACTATCTCAACCAAACAATCACCAAAACCAAACGACTCCTAAATAATATGATACCATCATAGTATATAAACATTAGATCAGTTAATAATGAAAGATTGACTATTATTCTTTTTTCATCATAACATCAATCACATGTATCATACACGACATACAAATATTATATAATTTAATTTATAGGTTACTTCATAATTCTTTTCTAAGAATTCAAATGTTAAGAATGAACTGAGCTCAAAGCATCATAATTGATCTTATTAATAAATCAAATTCTAGTAAAGCGAGATGCCAAAGCTCAACACTTTTAAAAAGGTATTTATAACTGGGAATCATAGGTCGCCGCCTGCTAGTTATGAACTGAGAACACAACATTCTTGTCAAATAGTTGGAAGATTTATGAAATGACAATACACAGAAGAAACCACAGGCATCCTTACAAATCAGACAAGAATATGTCCATAATCTAATATACACCCATAACCATCTCAGTCAAACAACCCATAATGAAGGCCAAAGAAGAAGAAGAACCTACTTAAAACAATCAGAAGAGGTAAACTTAGGTTGCCGCCAAGCGAACGATACATCCCTGTAACCTTGCAACTTCAATTACCTCACAGACGCCACAAAAGCCTGGATGAACAATCTGACAGGCAATAGCCGTTTTATTAATTCTTCGACTTGGAATGCTTTACAAGCCAATCAATCACAGAATCTATGTTTGTCGAGTTCTTGCACGAGATCATGAAGCAGCAAACTTCCCTGTCCGTTATCGACTTCAGCCCCCTGCCAAAAGAGCAAACATATTTCGAAAATTGAGAGGCCAAATCCTCCTGGTTTAGGTACCATTATAGAAAAATTAATGTTGCAAATAATTGATTTAAAGGATCTGAAAGGGGGGCTCCGTGTTACATCTCATCAGTTAAAGCCTGCTTAGACAGAGCTCCTGACTTGTCTATCTTGTTTCCAAGGACCAATAATGGGATGCCACTGAGGGATGGTTTGCTCAGCAAGTCATGCAGCTCACTCCTTGAGATGCTCAAGTTATCATGATCAGCAGCATCAACCACATACCTAAAGTTAACAGCAAAACGTTCATCACCATTAAGCATCAGGAAACCCATCATCTACACCATTACATTAGGATAACAACAAATCAATCATTAATCAACTCATAAGAATATAAGAAGACAAAAACCACTTGTTGTAGAAGCATTTGAGCCAGTCAAAATTTGATTGGATGATCATAATAAGATCATAAGTGCAAGTATCCCTGAGCTAAGATGATGGCAACAATAAAACAACTAGAGGGGCTAAGAGTAACAAGTCAGAGACCCACACATATAATGGCATGCTTGCCTCCAAGATGCAAGCTTGACTTCCATAGAAATCAGAGCAGAAAAAAATATGTCCGCAAGATTGTTGTTGTATACAATCAACTGTCTGCTAATGTGAATTGTGAACTCACAAGTAGAAGTCAAAGTTTACAGAAAAAGTGGTTTTTCTTTTTCTTTTATAAGGGTGAAATAGGTTTGTTTTTATAATTAGGTGCTACTTAAGAGATTCGAACCTGGGACCTCCGGTAATACCACTGGACCAAGCCCTTGTTCGCAAGTTTATTCAACTTGTTGAACTTTTGCAAATGGTATAGAGTAACAACTACACTGGATATGCAAGTTGACAGGTTTGAACTTTCCCTGTATTTCAACATGCTCAAACAAACCAATTTGTTTTCTAATTGGAGGTGAAACCAATAAAGTGTATCTTCAACAGAAAAGAGAATGCAACTAAAAGCCACTTGGGCAAACTACCTACTAATCAAAATTTGTCAACCAGAAGGATAATGGAATCGTAAGTCAAACTCACAAGTCTGCAAATTACTTGAGAACAGTTTTCTTACACAATAGCTGAGACCGCACGGCAATATCGCTCCCACATACTGCGGAACCTAGGTTGACCACCAAGATCCCACAACTTAATGGTGACATTTCCTTTTGTTACTTTCCTCATGTTGAATCCCACCTGAAGGTCAAAACAACATGCTGTTATTAGTTCATCGTCACAACATAAGGAGTTCACGGGAACTTCCAAAATTACTGACTCGGCAAGGAGGTTCAACATAAGTAAAGTGCAAAAAGGGACCAAAAGTTGTAACCAGAACTCACCGTTGGGATCATGTCTTCACTATATCCACCGGTCTTAAATCACAAGAAAGAAGTCAGCATCAAGAAATATAGGAGCCAGACAAATGGCCTGCCTGAAAAGAATCAGTATAAAATGATACATGCATGAACCACCATACTTACAGCCACGACATTAACAAGAGAAGTCTTTCCGGCATTCTGAAGCCCTATCAGGGACAGCTCCATCTCCTGCTTGAAAAAGAGACTGCAATCACATAACAAAATAGAAGGTTAAGAGCATGAATAAGCAAAACTAAAGATAACTTTTTAAAACAAAGTTCCCCAGGGTATGTCATGTGAGCTTCCAATATAACAAGCTAAACCACCCGGCAGGTTTCATTAACTATAATTCTTCACCTTATTCCAGCCACTTCACATATCAACTGAAGTTCCTACAACTTAACTATCACATAATACACACCAGTCACTCTTAAATACTGCGAAGCTGCATCTCTCCCCAGCCAAGAATTAGCAAACCAGGAGTGTTCCTGTGGGAAGGCAAAATCCGGGCAAAGACTACTGACCCTCTTCTTGTTTGTTCCTAGACGTCTGTTACGAGTCTGGGAAGTTTACAGCCTAACGAGAATTAAATTGCCAACTTTGCTAACTTGTCTACCTACTTCAAGCCTGTTGTCCTTAAATCCGTGAACATGTATCCTATGCAACCACGATTTTCATAGCTTTAACTCCACGACTATACACAGAAATATAAAGAGTTCTGACCAGATCAAGATATCATATCGTCCAGACTACATGTAATCGTAAACATTTGGCCAATAGCCACAATCATACTCCTCCCAATTCCAATCTTGGAAAAGAGAACATAGACCGAGCAGAATACCATAGGAATTCCTAGCTAGAATGATCAGCTAAACATGAGGACAAAAGCTTCAGGGAATTCAATCACTCGCCCATTCCATCTGAATTGAAACCTCAAAACCACGTAACAGAGCTCAAAACTAAGGCATAAGCTACATTTACCTCCATCCCCAAATCACAAAGAACTGCGGCAGCAAACAAATTAAAGAGGACCAATCTCAACTAGAAACGATGGGAATTCAATTGCAAACAAAGGGAATTGAGAAGCGAGGCGAACCTGCGGAGCCAATTGAGCAAAGCTTCCCAAATACCCATCGCCGGCGACGAGGAGGATGAGAGATAGGGAAGAGAAAGAGAGGGAAGATCTGCGGTGGAAACTCGGGGAAGCTGGAATTGAAATTTGCAGGGAGCCGCGGAAAGACAAAAAAAAAAAAAAAAAAAAGAAGAGGAACGAGACAGATAGACAGGGAGGGAGACGGAAAGAGAGAGACACACAGAACACAACGCAAGACACCCACGCACTCTCTCGCTCTCTTTCTCTTTCCTCAAAATTCACCTCTGTCTGTCGACCTATCTCCTCACAGTCCTCTCCTCCCGTAAATCCCTTTCACCTTTTTCCGAATTCCGAATTCCGAACAACACACAAACCACAAACAGTACTTGGAAGATATTTTATTCAATTTTATAGCCGATTTATTTCATATATATATATATATATATATCGCCTCTGGAATAATATTTCCTACCGACCAAATCCTGTAGAAAATAATAAAAAAGGAAATGTTTTTCGTCCTTATAACAACGATGAAGATAAGTTAAGCATATGGTATTCTTGTCCTGCGATATGTTAACAGTTTTGCTTAACATATTCTTAATTCCAGAGCAGTTAGTTGATCGGGGCTTAACATATGCTTAACCTGCTGAGGTCCGTAAAACTGTGTTTGCTATGGGATCGAAACAAGCGCCGGGATCGGATGGATTCACTGAGAAATTTTTCAAGGCCTTCTGGGACATTGTGGGTGAGTCCGTAGTAGCGGCAGTTTGCTCGTTCTTTGCTACTAGTCGGATGCTGCGGAGCTTCAATCATACTTGGCTCACTCTGATCCGCAAGGTCGAGAATGTGGAGTCTATGCGACAATTGCGCCCGATTAGCTTGTGCCAGTTAGTTTATAAAATTATTACCAAGATTATGGCAGAGCGTCTGGCTCGTGTCCTGCCTAGTATTATCTCTGATGGCCAAAACGCATTTATCCGGGAACGTCAAATTGTTGAGAACATCCTCCTCGGCCATGAGTTAATGCATTATATGAAAATTAAAACGCGAGGTAAGAAAGGGTACATGGCTCTAAAGGTTGACATGGAAAATGCCTATGATAGAGTCGAATGGCCCTTTCTCCTTGCGGTTTTGGATAAGATGGGATTTAACTCCATTTGGCAAGGATGGATTAGTGAGTGCCTCAGATCTTCCTCGTTTACTATTCTTATGAATGAGATCCCTTCAGGTTATTTCACTCCGTCAAGGGGGTTGCGGCAAGGGGATCCTCTTTCCCCTCTCTTGTTTGTGCTGTGCACTGAGGGCTTTGCGGCGCTCCTTCGCAAGACAATCTCGGAGAAACGGCTGGAGGGAGTGAAGGTGGCTCCTCGTGCTCCACGGATATCGCATATTTTCTTTGCAGATGATTCGTATTTGTTCTTGCGCGGTACTCTTAGGGAGTGTGAGAATTTGATTGAGGTCTTGAATGAGTATGAGAAACTGAGCGGTCAACGGGTAAATCTGGCTAAGTCGGCAGTGTGCTTTAGTAAAAATATTGTCCGAGCCGATCAAGAGTTCTTGGCCTCGATACTAGGTGTTGGGGCAGTAGGAGTTCAAGATAAGTATTTGGGGTTGCCGACATTAATCGCTCGGTCCAAAATGGCCACGTTCAGATATTTGGAGGAGAAATTGCTGGACCGACTCCAGGGGTGGAAGCAGCGGACTCTGTCGAGGGCGGCCAAAGAGACTTTGATTAAGTCGGTTGCTTTGGCTTTGCCGCTACATGTTATGTCCTGCTTTAAGCTTCCTCTCTCTTTGTGTCGGCTTCTGGATAAGCATGTGGCCCGCTTCTGGTGGGGTGATGCTGAGGATCATTCTCGGATTCGGTGGATTTCTTGGCGTAATCTGTGCCGCAGCAAACATGATGGGGGTCTGGGATTTCGTCGGTTTGAGCAATTTAATCAGGCCTTGCTTGCCAAGATTGGATGGCGTATTCTTATGGACCCTCAATCTCTCCTGGCTCAGGTTTATAAGGGCAAATATTTCCCCATTGGGTCTTTCCTTGATGCCTCAGCTCGATCCCGACCCTCCTGGGGATGGCAGAGCATCTTGTTTGGTAGAGAGCTATTGCTAAAGGGGTTAAGATGGCAGATTGGCAATGGCCAAAGTGCGTCTCTTCTCAACTCTAACTGGATCCCTATGCTCCAATTCGATCCCCCCAGGTTCAGTCCCCGGGTGTTGCCGGAGGGTGGAGGGCCTCGGGTGGCGGAAGTAATATGTCCAGGTGCGGGGTGTTGGGATGTACGTAGGCTTCATCAATGGTTTGATCCGCCGACTTGCCAGGCCATTCTATGTATCCCTCTCCCGCGACAAGATGTGGCTTATAGGCTAATCTGGCATGCTACTGAGAATGGGATCTTCACAGTCAAATCAGCTTACCATCTAGCGGTCTCGATTGATAGGCGACGCGGGGGGGGGGGGGGGGGGTTGGCGGTCCACGGTTGGCTGGATGGATAAAGCCTCTTGGATTCGATTGTGGGACGCAGACATACCCCCGAAGCTTAAAATCTTTGTCTGGCAAATCCTAAATCGTATCCTGCCCACTACGGTGGCCCTGGTCGAGAGAAAGGTCCCTGTGCATCCAAGATGTCCGGTTTGTTGGGCTAGTGCGGAAACAATGGAGCATTTATTCTTTGATTGTCCGGTGGCTCGTGCCCTTTGGGATTATTCTGGGTTGGCGTATCTGGGGGAGGGGCTCCCTCGTCATACCTTCCCTTTGTTCCTAAAACGATTAATGGCTTTGATCCACCAACATACTCTGTTTATGGCGGTGGTAGCCATCCTTTGGCGGATATGGAGATCGAGGAACTGGGTGGTCTTTGAGGGGAAGCAGTTTGGGTTCCCTGCATTGATGCGTCAGTTTCAGCAGCAGTATGAGGAGTGGGCAGTTCGCCGGTGGATAGGAGTCCAACTGCGTGTCCTCCTGGGGTGGGTCTCTATGGGGAGCATCATATGGGGTCTGTAGGAGCGGACAGGATTATTTGTATGTGGGATGGAGCTGTTCGTTGTGGATCGCACTCGGCTGGAGGGGTGGTTCTGTTCACACAAAATAAGGCGGTCTGGTTGGTGAAGGGGATTCATTTTCCTTGCCTGGATGACCCTTTGGTGGTGGAATTGCTTGTCCTCCGCGAGGCGGTTCTGTGGTGCCTTGAGCTTGGCCTATCGGATGTGCGCTTTGAAGGGGATGCCAAGGTTATTATTGACAAGATTATTCAGGCGGACGTCAGAGACAATCATGTTGGTGCTATTTTGGAGGAACTTTTGCCATATTTTAGTAGTCTCTCTGGCTTTAGTGTTCGATTTGTAGGTCAGCGTAGTAATAGGGTAGCCCATATGGTGGCTCGTAAAGCCCTCTCTTTGTACCCGACCTTGAGTCGTTTCTTTGATTTTCAGGCTTGGCTGATTTCCAGGATGTAACTATCTTTTGTTCCAATCAATATAGATTATCTTTTGTAAAAAAAAAAAAAAATGAAGATAGGCAAAACCGCAAAAGTTAGGATGAGGTTGTCGACCCGGTTTAGCTCGTTGGCTCGCTCAATCAAATGGATTGAGAGTTAATAGTTCGATTGGTTTAGCCTGATTTATTCTAAATATATGAAAACATTCATTATATTGTTCATACATTTATAAATAATATCAAATCTCATCTAACATATAACATTATACCAAAATGATATATCATACTTGGTTCCAACATATAGTAAAAATTCACTCATATTTAAATGACATAAAAATTCAAATGTTCAACTTAGAATTCCAATGGTAGTGTTAGGCGAAGAGAATAACCAGAAAAGAGGCGCATTTAGCAAAATAAAGGAAAAAATGATGGAGTGTGATTTTCAAATCAATAACCTTACAATGGATCAACGCGACAAAAATATGTGACCCTTTTTTCTCACCTGGTTAGATCAACAGCTCAACCAATGAGTCGACCCACAAATGACAACCTATTGCTAATAGGGCTGCAAATGAGCCAAGCTGCTCGCGAGTAACTCGGCGTTCGAATCGGAAAAAACTCGTTCGACACTCGGCTCGTTATTTAACAAGCTGGCTCGTGAGCCAGCTTGTTAGTAAACGAGCCAAGCTAAAGCTAGACCATGCTCAGCTTGATAAGCTCGTGAGCTAACTTGACTTGGTGGCTTGTTGAGCTAAGCTCGCGAGCTTGGCTGTTTAGAGCTTCTGGAATGATTAATTATTCTTTTGAACATTAACAAGATTGTTAATACATATGTGTATGGAAGTTAGTTGTTATTTATAGTTTCTAATGTTCTTTTTGTTATTTAAATTATTATGTGTACACAATTTTCCGCAAAATGATTTCAAATCGAGCTTATCTTGAGTCGAGCTTATACTGAGCTTGACAAGCTGTGTTAATGCGCATTTATCGAGTTCGAGCTGGATTATTTTTAATCGAGCCGAGCTCGAGCTCAAGCTGGATTATTAAAATTCGAGTTCGAGCCGAGCTCGAGCTGAAAAATTTATAAACAAGCCGATCTCGAGCTGAAAAATTTATAAACGAGCCGAGCTCAAGCTAAGCAAAAATTTGACTCGACTCGGCTCGTTTGCCGCCCTAATTGCTAACAATGAAAGGGCCTCCACCACTTAAGAGTTATTGAGCTGGCCCTACTGAGGCCCATCTTTGATTTGCAGAAAAAAACATCTAGTCAGTTCAGCCCAGCCCAATGATATTCCCCTCTTCTTCCAAAACCCTAATCTCGGCCGCTATAAAGACTTCCGCTTCCAGAAAATTTGCTATTTGTTCACCTCTCATTTTCGCAGTACCAGCTCCAGAACCCTAGCCGCCGTCGGCAAACTACAGACCACACCCAGACACTATGAAGTACAATCCAAGAGTTTCGTCTTCCCGGCGCAAGAACCGGAAGGCTCACTTCACGGCGCCCTCGTCGGTCCGCCGGATCCTGATGAGCGCCCCGCTCTCCACCGACCTCCGCCAGAAGTATAACGTGAGGTCCATGCCGGTGCGCAAGGACGACGAGGTTCAGGTGGTCCGCGGCACATACAAGGGCCGCGAGGGCAAGGTTGTCCAGGTTTACCGCCGCAAGTGGGTGATCCACATCGAGCGCATCACCAGGGAGAAGGTGAACGGATCCACCGTCAACGTCGGAGTCCACCCTTCCAAGGTCGTCGTCACCAAGCTCAAGCTCGACAAGGACCGCAAGTCGCTTCTCGACCGCAAGGCTAAGGGGCGCGCCGCCGCTGACAAGGACAAGGGCACCAAGTTCACTGCTGAGGATATTATGCAGAGCGTCGATTAGTTGTGGTTTTCCCCGGTGGACATTTTGTTGTGTTTCTGCTGGCTCTGATTTCTTA